TATAGGATCTATACATGTTCATCTTGTACAAAAACAACTTTACAACGAATAATAGAACTACAACCGCCTTGTGCAGTGGATAAGTCATGTCGATCACTCGTCAGAACTACCATGTAAATCTTGTGTTGTTAGTTTTGGTTTGATTTTTAACATTTACACTTTGCGAGATTTTTTTATATTTGGGTAAAGTTTTGATAGTTATCAATACTTTTTTTTACCACATTCTCATTGGCGGACTTAGTATTGTCTTTGTGAAAAAAATCGATTATTCACAAATAAATTATTAAAATAAATGTTATATGCTACACCATGAGTCATTTCATACTATAACAGATTAATTATATGCAATAAATTGAAGTCTATTTGAACCCAATTCATAAATACTCTTATCATAACCAGGAGATCATTTATCATTATAATTTTTGTGAATAACTATCCAATTGGATATACTGAAATAACTTTTGGACTTAGATATAGTGACATTCATGTCACCGTAATTTGCACTTTTAGATCGACTTCATATAGAATTAGGTCGACCTAATCTGTTGTTTCAGTTTTGTGCTAGAAGGCAGCTTACTTCGTAGCAACTTCGAGCCTTTTGTTTGAAGCCTTCTAGATATCCAATATTTCATCAAATGCCTTGAATTTGTAGACAAACATACCTACTTTCATGTGGTGGAGGCCCCTGGACTCGAATCTCATCCATGCTTCTGGAATGGAGCTCCAAAGTAGGCTTCACAAACAATTTCCCAGACGGGCCATTTTCAGGCAGTTTCTCAGTTTTGGCATAGCCTTTTGATCAGGTTCAAAAATGGTATTCTGGACTTCCAATCCAGCTCCCAAGCACTTCAATGTGTAGAGGGACACTCCAGCTTCAAAACAAGCCATTAATCTCCAATTTTCATCAAGTCAATTGTAAATAATGAATGTCCAAAGTAGGCATCATGAAACTGTTTTTACATTGAAACGACATATTAGATTGACCTAATCGTAACTAAGATCGACCGAAAAGTGTAAGTTATGTTGGAACTTTTAGGGACGAGGGTACACGTACGAAAGCCCGAGACCGGGTGACTAGGATTGTGATAGAGTCGTGAACAAAGTTCACTTTCCGTAAAGAATATTTCCACCCTCAATCAAGCCTAGGGTTACTAGAAATTTCTTCGTAGGATAAAACTACCACCACTTTAGAATCTAGGCTTAAGAAACTAAAGCATACTTAGAACTTTTAGTAGGAAGAAGAGAATCAAGTTTGGTGTGTGTTTTTTCAACATCCGGCTACCTCTATTTATAGAAGCCGAATAGGTATGTTGCTTCAACCGAAGCATTGCCTTGTTCCATACCAAATGTTGCAACTAGTGGACATTATTATGAATAATGGAGCATCTCATTATAACTGGCATTATCCATAAGTGTAATTATCCACCAAAAACCATAATGCATTTCGTTGCATTACTGTATTCAAATTGGTCCAAGACCACAAACATGAAACGTTGCTTTGTTTCATTTAAATTGGTCCAAATGAAACCATGCACCACGTGCGAGTTTAATGGAAGTTGGCTAATTCAATCCAAATGGAGGTTGGGTAATTTTAAAATTAATTTAACCAACTCATGTTGATCTTATTTTCCAACAACCTCAAATCGGTTTGGTCAGTCCAACCCCAAATCGATTTCTACCGATTAGGGTTCAACCAAATTTCCAACATTCCTCCCTTATTTTAGTGTATTCAAAGAATTCACTAAATTTACAACATTCAATATTCTTCCAACAAAACTTAAGCATAAATGAAAATGTCGTGACGATTGAATTTTCACCTTAGTATATTACACTTGACAAATATTCGAATACAAAGGGTGTCGGTAACGATTGAACCGATTGACTCATATGAATATTCGAAGATAATATACACTTAAGTTTTTAAAACTTTGTAAGCGCCTTGACACTATTCTCCGCCATGTGTCCAATCCTTCTCATAAGCGCACACGAAACCAAAGTCCGGGTTTCTTGAAGCGGCTAAACTTCATGCTTACATAGGTCGAACCTTTATTTTGTGTACCTGCACAATACACTTTGTCAAAGATTCAATTAAGAAGTTAAACTTCATCATCTTCTCTCATGCAGGTCAACAAGCACATACCTCGGGATGATGTATTGTGTGCTTCAATTTCTGATAATGAGCTTTCCTCATTGAATTCAGCCTCTAACGTTGTATTAGAGGGGAATTGGGTGTCCCATGATTAGAAATTATATGGACTTTAAACCCATCCCTTTCACAGACTTGACTACCAAGTCTCTAGCTAACCCTTTTGTCAAATGATCAGCTAAATTATCTTGAGTCCGGACATACTGTAAAGACACAACTCCGTGAGTGATCAATTCACGAATTTTACTATGTCTTACTCCCAAATGGCGAGACTTGCCATTATACATATGACTATATGCCTTAGCCAAAGTAGCATTACTATCACAAAGGATAGAAATTGGCGAGATTGGTTTAGGCCATAAAGGGATGTCATAAACCAAGTCTCTCAACCACTCTGCCTCTCCTCCAGCAGAAGCCAAGGCCACAAATTCTGACTCCATAGTGGAACTTGTGATGCAAGTTTGCTTTTTAGAAGCCCAAAAGATAGCACCTCCCCCAAGCCAAAAGACCCATCCTGAAGTTGAAGTATGATCTTGAACATCAGAAATCCAACTAGGATCAGTATGGCCTTCCAAGATAGATGGAAATCCACTATAAGTCAAGGCATAATGCATTGTGCCTTTGAGATATCCTAGTACACGTCTCACTGCATATGCCAATGATGAGCACTAGGATTACTCGTATATCGACTTAATTGTCCTACCGCATATGTGATATCTAGTCTTGTGCAAGTCATTGCATACATCAAGCACCCAACAACCTTGGGGTATTCCAATTGTGAAACAGGTTCCCAAGTATTAGGAAAAAGTTTCATACTTGGATCCATTGGGGTTTTTAATTCACGACAAACTTCACTATGAAATTTATCAAGTACCTTCTCAATGTAATGAGATTGAGTCAAAGCTACTTCCTTGCCGTTTTGCTTGATCTTGATACCCAGGATCACATCTGCTTCCCCCATGTCCTTCATGGAGAATTTAGATGACAAAAATTCCTTAGTGAGGTCCACTTGTCTTTGATTGGTACCAAAGATAAGCATGTCATCTACATACAAACATATGATGACTCCATTACCGGAATCATCAAATTTTGTATATACACATTTGTCAGCTTGGTTTAACTTAAAACCACTAGACAAAACCACCTCATCAAACTTTTGATGCCACTGTTTTGGAGCTTGTTTAAGCCTATACAATGATTTGATCAATTTGCACACTTTATGCTCTTGATCGGGTACAACAAATCCTTTGGGTTGTCTCATGTAAATCTCTTCATCCAAATCCCCATTCAAGAAAGCTGTCTTGACATCCATTTGATGGATAATTAGATTGTGAATTGACGCAAGAGCAATCAACAATCTAATGGTGGACATTCGAGCAACAGGCACGTAAGTATCAAAGTAATCAATCCCATGTTTTCGTCTAAAACCTTGGATTACCAAATGCGTCTTAAACTTGTCGATGGTCCCATCGACTCTTCTTTTCTTTTTGAAGATCCATTTATCACCCAAAGGTTTGCATCCAGGTGGTAAATCTACCAACACCCATGTGTTGTTCGCCATGATGAAATCTTTTTCATCATTAATAGCTTCCTTCCAAAAGGCAGTGTCACGAGACTGCATAGCCTCATCAAAAGTTTTAGGATCATCCGCAATATTAAATGAATATATATATTGAGAGTGTACTTCCTCTCTAGACCCTTCCACAAGATACATGTGAAAGTCTGGTCCGAAAGATTTTGCAATTTTTCTTCTTTTACTTTGACGAAGAATGGGTAAAGTCGATTGCGAAGCATCTTCCTCAATCCCCTCATTGACATGAGGAACTATGTCTTTTGGTCGTTGCATTGATATCGATTTTCATCAAATATGGCATCTCTTGAGTCAGTTATAGAATGAATTGAGTAAGCGTCATTTTGTTCTATAACATAGAACCGGTATGCCTTAGAATTTTCAGCATATCCTACAAAGATACAATCAATGCCTCTTTCTCCTAACGTCTTCCTTTTAGGATCCGTTAGTCGCACGACTGCCCGACAACCCCAAACTCGAAGATACTCCAAGTTTGGCTTTCGTTTATACCATAGTTCATAGGGGGTAGTAACGTTCCTTTTATTGGGAACCCTATTTAATAAATAGCAAGCCGTTAGCATAGCTTCCCCCCAAAACCCATTACTCAAACCAGAGTAAGAGAGCATGGAATTGACCATTTCCTTTAGAGAGCGATTTTTCCTCTCTGCTATCCCATTTTGTTGAGGAGTAAACGGTGCAGAGGTCTCATGTATGATCCCCATACTTTGGAAGTAAGTCGGATCATAGTATTCACCACCTCGATCCGTGCGCAAAGTTTTGATCTTTGCTTCTTGTTGTAACTCCACTTCAGTTTTATATATACTAAAGCGACTAAGGGCTTCATCCTTAGTTTGCAACAAGTACACATAGCAAAACCTCGAATAGTCATCAATAAAGGTGATCACATATTTCTTCCCTCCTAAGGTAGGAGTGCCATGTAAATCACACAGATCACTATGTACAAGTCCAAGCACCTTGGACTCCCTTTGCACGTTCTTAAACGGCTCTCTAGTGATTTTTGTCAACATACAAGTTTTACATTTATCATGTTGAGCATCAAAAGAAGGAAGAAGTCCTTCTTTAGACATAGTCATCATTCGCTTATAATTCACATGCCCCAACCGTGCATGCCATAAAGACGAGTCAATAAGGGTAGTCATGTAAGCGGAAATAATATTATCAATTTTATTAATAATATTCAACATAAACATACCATTATTATAATAACCAAATCCGACAAACACTCCGGATTTAGATAATACATATCTATCAGAGTCATAAACTTGACGATATCCAAGTTTATTTAGTACACTTCCAGAAACCAAAATTTTCCTAATCTTAGGTACATGTAACACATCCCTAAGTACAAGAGTCTTTTCGGAAGTAAATTCCAACTCTACGGTGCCACGTCCTTCGACTGGAGCAGTTGACTCATTGCCCATATGGAGAACAGAACCGTCTTCCACTGGTTTGTAAGTTTTGAACCATTTGCGATCCTTGCTTACATGTATGTTAGCTCCAGAGTCCACCCACCAAGCAATATCATCATCCTGTACAAAATATGCTTCATTAATTAGTGAAACATAATTCATACCCAAATTTGGATCAAATTCAAAATCAAAAGTGGAAATGCAACCTTGTGGGCCTTGATCGTTAGATCCTTGCCCAACATGACGATTACCACTATTCTTTGATTTTTCCATGTGACAATCACGCTTGAAATGCCCCGATTTCCCACACTTCCAACAAGTAGGCTTAGCTTTCTTGTTTTTGTCGGCCTTGGATGAGTTGTAGCCCTTGTCGCGAGAACGTTTCTTTCCCTTCTTCTGGGTAGAAGACTCTCCAATCTCTATCATGTGAACCGATGACGATTCTTTTGGCTTCACACCCTCTTGCACCCTGAGGTTTTCCTCTATGCGCAAGTGGGTACCGAGTTGGGTTAAATCCAACTCTTCCTTCTTGTGTTTAAGCATATGCTTAAAGTCCTTCCAAGAAGGTGGCAGTTTGTCGATTATACTCGACACAGCGATCGCCTCATCCATGTTCAGATTGTGTTGAGTAAACTGACCATAGATTCGAAGTAATTCGTTATATTGCTCCTTCACTGGGCGAGAATCGCTCATCTTGTAAGTGTTGAAATTACTTACAAGAAACTTCTTGGTCGATGCATCATCAGCCAAATACTTTGCCTCTAATGCATCCCAAAGTTCCGAGGCATTGGCATACATTTCGTAAATGTCGAATAGAGAGTCCGACAAACCATTGAGTATGTGTCCTACGCAAAGGTAGTTGTCGTTCTCCCACTTCTTCATTTTACGAAGTCGCTTCTTCAATTCCTCATTGTCGACCCCTTCCTCCTCCAAGTTACATTCTGGACATGGGGTACTAATCACATACCCCACCTTGAGAGTAGTAAGAAGAAAACGCATCTTCTTTTGCCATTGACGGTTCCCCATCGAATTTCTCAATTTTCCCATGGAGAGAGGGTTCCTTTTAAGGAGAAGTACGAGCCATCGTACAAGAGAAATATTCTTTACGATTGTTGGAACTTTTAGGGATGAGGGTACACGTACGAAAGCCCGAGACCGGGTGACTAGGATTGTGATAGAGTCGTGAACAAAGTTCACTTTCCGTAAAGAATATTTCCACCCTCAATCAAGCCTAGGGTTACAGGAAATTTCTTCGTAGGATAAAACTACCACCACTTTAGAATCTAGGCTTAAGAAACTAAAGCATACTTAGAACTTTTAGTTGGAAGAAGAGAATCAAGTTTGGTGTGTGTTTTTTCAACATCCGGCTACCTCTATTTATAGAAGCCGAATAGGTATGTTGCTTCAACCGAATCATTGCCTTGTTCCATACCAAACGTTGCAACTAGTGGACATTATTATGGATAATGGAGCATCTCATTATAACCGCCATTATCCATAAGTGTAATTATCCACCAAAAACCATAATGCATTTCGTTGCATTACTGTATTCAAATTGGTCCAAGACCACAAACATGAAACGTTGCTTTGTTTCATTTAAATTGGTCTAAATGAAACCATGCACCACGTGGGAGTTTAATGGAAGTTGGCTAATTCAATCCAAATGGAGGTTGGGTAATTTTAAAATTATTTTAACCAACTCATGTTGATCTTATTTTCCAACAACCTCAAATCGGTTTGGTCAGTCCAACCCCAAATCGATTTCTACCGGTTAGGGTTCAACCAAATTTCCAACAAGTTACACTAGCATGATAGGCTCACCTAACTTTTTTAATGGGCCAAATCTTAAGACCTAATTATATCGGGTATTTAGCTAGTAATCCGCCAGCCCAATTTAATTCACAGGCTCCATTTCGAATGTTTACTTTTGCGGTTTTGCCCCTCCCTCTTCGCTTCCCGCTCTCAGTTTGCAGTTTGCACCAAATTCATTCCAAAATAAGTTCCTCCACGTCATCCATCCGTGCCGATCTTCCCAGATTGCACTACAGCCGTCGATAATTTATTATCGATCCCATTCTTAACCCATCTCCGCCGTAGAAAAACAAAGAACACCCCTAGCCCTACTCGACTCTCTCTTCTCCATTCCAATAAATCCCCCTCTCTTTCTCCGGTAATCCTCACCGAAATCAAATTCTCTCACTCAACATTCAGTAATCCACCAAGTTCCATAATCTTCAAACCCTAGCTCCTCTCTCTCTCTCAAATGGCCCGCACCAAGCAAACCGCTCGCAAGTCTACCGGCGGCAAGGCGCCAAGGAAGCAGCTGGCGACCAAGGCCGCAAGGAAGTCCGCTCCGGCGACCGGCGGAGTGAAGAAGCCCCACAGGTTCAGGCCCGGAACCGTCGCCCTCCGCGAGATCCGAAAGTACCAGAAGAGCACAGAGCTCTTGATCCGCAAGCTGCCCTTCCAGCGCCTGGTTCGCGAAATTGCACAGGACTTCAAAACCGACCTCAGGTTCCAGAGCTCTGCCGTTTCGGCTCTCCAGGAAGCCGCCGAGGCCTACCTTGTGGGTCTCTTCGAGGACACCAATCTCTGCGCCATTCACGCCAAGAGGGTCACTATCATGCCCAAGGACATTCAGCTCGCCAGACGCATCAGGGGCGAGCGCGCTTAAATCTTGAATCTGTTTTCGTATATTAATTTCACTAGTTTAGACTCTCGTTTGCTGATTATCGTGTGTAATTGTGCCAGTACAATGTAGTGACTTTTCTGGGTCGTTGATCTTAATGGGAAAAGCTTGTTTACTGCTCAATCGTCTGAATGCAATTGTAATTTCCTTCTGGGTCTGATTTTTCGTAGCTTAGATTAGGATTAGGGTTTCGACTCAGTCCAACTTTTGAGACAGAGTGTTGGCCACTTTCGTTGTGGGTTTCCTATTAGACTTTTGAGGTTACATGGTTAGTCAGCAGCGACTGACTCCCCTAATCTAATAGAATTCGTTTCAACGAAACAAAATAATACCCTACTAAATTATTGTGAGAGAATGACTAATTTGTTTGCAATGGCTGGTGGCCCTAAATTGGGTGTCAATTGTGGACCCCATCAATCAATTGCATTTTATGACCATGACGATAATGCTTACTGATATAAAAGAGAGGCCTTTAGTTGCTTCTGCTTGATAACTTAACGCTTCTGTCTACTTTCATCTTTCTCCAGAGTCCAGACCCTGTTTTCTAACTACTCTGTTTTTTCCATTCCATTTCCCCCCTGATTTCCTGAATCATGGAACCGGGTGAGAGCCAGAGATCGGCAACTGAGTTGTTTGAAGCGCAGGCTCACATCTACAACCACATCTTCAACTTCATCAACTCGATGGCGCTGAAGTGCGCCGACGAGCTTGGAATCGCAGATGCAATCTTCCGCCACGGCAAACCCATCACCCTCCCCCAACTCGTTTCCGCGCTCAACATCCAGCCAGCCAAAACTGCCCACCTGTACCGGCTAATGCGCGTTCTCGTCCACTCTGGCTTCTTCGAAGCAGTGGTAGAAGACCAAGAAGAAGCTTACGCGTTAACACCGTCTTCGAAATTGCTGGTGAAAGCCGACGCAAATTGCTTGTCTGCCTTCGTGAAGGCTCTGCTCCAGCCCGATTTCGTAACTCCGTGCCACGTGCTGGGAGATTGGATTAAGGATGGTGGTGGAGACGAGACGAAGAAGGAGCCTGCTTCTTCTCCATCTTCCACGCCGTTTGAGAAAGCACACGGGATGGCGTTTTGGCAGTACAACGATCGAAACCCTCCGTTTAATGCGATATTCAATGAAGCCATGGCCTGCGATTCCCAGATGGTGAATTTGGTTATTGGCAATTGTGGGAAGGTTTTCGATGGAATTGATTCTCTGGTGGATGTTGGTGGCGGGACGGGGACGTTTGCTAGGATTATAGCCGAGGCGTTTCCTGGGATCAAATGTAAGGTTCTGGAGCTTCCCCAGGTTGTTGGTCACTTGGCTGGTACTTCTGGGAGCGTGGAGTTTGTTCCAGGGGATATGTTTCAGCATGTCCCTTCAGCAGATGCCGTCTTGCTCAAGGTATGTGCTTTAGATCATCCTCCCACTCGTCATTGGTTAGATGATCCTCTTACAATCGTGCTTAACAGCTATAGAATAGGATTGTGAAAACACTAATTAGATTCTATGTCTTTGTGTTGCTCATTTGGTGTCTCTACAGTTGATTATGCACGGATGGAAGAATGAAGAGTGTGTGAAGATCCTGAAGAAATGCAGAGAAGCGATTTCGTGCAAAGGGGAAGGAGGGAAGGTGATGATCATCGACATAGTGATAAACCAGAAGAAGGATGAACATGAATTGACTGAAACAAAATTGTTGTTTGATATGCTGATGATGCTGGTGGTTAATGGGATGGAGAGGAGTGAGAAGGAATGGGAGAGACTCTTCTTGGAAGCTGGTTTCAAGCACTACAAGATCACTCCTTTGTTTGGGTTGAGGTCTCTGATTGAGGTTTTTCCTTAGAGAGAAGGAAATGGCATGAATGAAACCCTATTGCTATTGTTATTCTTATGAGTCATGTAATCGGTAAATGATGAAATAAAGTCTGCTTCATGCATTCCTAGACAGTAGTACTAGGATCTGAGCCTGTGGGTTTGGCAGCTTATAGAACAAATAGCCATTGGCGATCATAGCTTGACTGACAATAGTAGTTTGAAATCCCATTGCCGCTTAATATGAAAAATCTACTTTGTGAGAGTACAAACTAGAACAGGATCTCTCTGGCACTCGTACGCCAGAAAGCATACTACTTTTGAGGGTATTGATTAGACTCTACCTTGAATCAACTTCTAAACCAATTCAGGTGAACCGGGAAGTTCAGCAAATGAATTTTTTTAATCACATCCAAATTTGCTTAGGTTGAGATGGGAAGTTCAGCAAACAAATGTCCAGTTTGGAAGTTCTACCATCATCCTCGGTAAAGTGAAATGAGAACCTCCTACAAATGAAAGTCTAGTTTATTTGTTTCATCAGCCACACAGATTGTTAGGTTCTCTCACTTGCACTGCAACGGATCCAATCCTCTGGCCGTGGCATTGTCGAGCAACTATTGCACATATAATCTCCGTCCTCCAATCAACATCATGGATCAATGTCGCCTTCATGCCTCGACGGTTGAATTCACTTGCGGATTGGGTGTTGCCAGGCTGAGATGAATACATTACCAATGGACTAGATTCTAATTATTAATATCATTGTTCCGCTTCGGTAATGTAACCGAGTTTCCCTGCTCTGGGTGGTAAAAATGAATCTTAATTGTAAAAAGGAATTTTTTTGACTCCTTTTAGATGGTGAAATCTTACAAGTGGTTGATTCCCCTTACTTTGCTTCATTTTGATTATTATTTTGTTTCTTTTCCCCTAAGTTAGAGGATAAAGGTTGTCCTTTTAAAATAGGATACTGATAAATTAGTCTCGAAATGTAGAGACATATAAATGTCATATTTAAAAATCAACTTATTCTTTGATGTTTTTGAAATATGATTATACCATGTTCCATCATCACAAAAATTTACCCAATCGATAATATTTTGCTCCAGTTACCCAATAGATTGATTTGAGCCTAAAATCAACTATCAAACTCAATCATTCCACCTTTAGCTTTGAATCATCGTCCAAAGCGGTTAAGGAAGGACTTAAGGTGGTTAGGTGGAAATGGGGAAGTCTAGCTAGCTTAGCTCTAATGGAAGTCTGATTTAGATGTTCATCCGTTGACTCAAAGAAGAAATGATCAAGGTCTTCGGTAGTCAAGTTGTGCCGGTGGTGGCAAATCCACATTTCTACCTGAAGAAATCTGGTTCTGGTCTCCGGGAGATGAGGCAGCAAGAAAAAAAAAAGGTAACAGAACAAGACTTGGAAAACAACAGTCGTCTTACTTCCCCTGTTTCCTGGAAGGCACAAACCCTTGTCTGTTTCTTGCTTTCCACGTTACCTGCTTCAGTGGATACGTTGAGGAGGTACAGGCAGTGGTTGGTTGGTGATGGGGTTAGTAAAGTCGGACGGTGGGCTCTGCTCGCCTACCATTTTCCCCTCTTTGTCAATGCACTTTCGGACTTTCCGTATTTCCAGTGACAAAAGAGACATTTTTTTTTTGTCTGCCGTATCTAGTGGAATAAGTTTTCTGATGACTTGCATAAAAATAAGTGTTTCTAAAGCTTCGGGCGGGTGGTTCAATCGTAAATTTTTCTTATAGAAAACTAAATCTATAGATGTTATTTAGCGGTATGAAACGGTGGAACCACAATTTTAGTACAAAATACTTTTTTTTTGTTGACTTTTGCAATACAATCTCCGATACGGTTTCACAATTCGACTGTTGTTCCTTAATATAGATCATCGTAATAACGTTCTCACTTTAAGAAGGAAAAAAAAATTCCATTCAGCTTAACTAATTACTTCCAAGTGTATAAAAAGACCACTAGTGCATGCTTAAATTAAGGTAGAATTTTAATGACGATGGAGACTCAAATATAAGAAATTTTGAGTATTAATTAAACACTAAAAATGATGTAATGCAGCTCTCTTTGTTTGCAGTCACCAAGGTCAAGCTTGGAGGCTTGGACTACTGCTGAGGAGAATCAAGGCGTAATACTTAGAGTTGGAGACCATTAGATTTTGCCATTTTGGGATTGTCATGGTCGATCTTCTTTCTCAAAAGGTACATTGTACGCTCCAAAATAACATTCTAGCTTATGTTTTATATTTTTCTCATTTAACTTGAGCGTTGAAAGAAAAATTTAATCTAAACAATCACTTATCTAACTCACTCCGCACACAAGATCAAAACCTTCACGATCGAGTCCTTCAACAAATCCTTCCTGAAATGGAAACCCTACAAGAACATGGAGCACAAATAATTTGATTTGAGTAACTTTTATGTTTAGTTAATTTGGTATATTGAAAGGAAAACTTCTTCCAAATAAATAAAGTTTGTCGATAATGAACAAGATTTACCAGAAATTTTATTTTAAGGTCTCTCCTAACAAATAGAAGTGTTGTATAATTATTAATACGATAACTTTCATTCAAAATAGCATAATTTCTAATAACATATAGAAATTCAGTATTTCCCCAACCATGTAGACGGCTTCAACCTGAAAAAGTTGGAACTTTTCCATTCCACCTCTTTGAATTCATGAGTCAAGAGGCACTTCTCCCTTTTCTTGAACCGTGCGGACCCCTAAAACTTCCCTCAGTCGAAAACCAGAAAACTTTCCTCAGTCAAGTACTCCACATTGAATTCACATCAAAGGCAAAAACCATTTTGTGGACAGGGGAAGCTTCCTCAGTCTGCCACTCCACAGCATACCATCCATTTGATCTCTGTCTATATATGCAAACACAAATCCCAAATTTCTTCAACCCAAAACAAGCCCCTAAAATCACACCAGCTACCACATCGCAGCAGAAGAGAATGAACCCAAATGATCAAGCCAACGAAGTCACCGAGCTCTTCCGAGCTCAAACCCACATCTACAAACACATGTACAACTTCATCGAATCCATGGCCCTCAAATCCGCCCTCCAGCTCACCATCCCCGACATAATCCACAACCACAACAAACCCATCAGCCTCATCGACCTAGCATCCGCCCTCAACGTCCCACCAGCAAACACCAACCCCTTGGAGCGACTCATGCGAATCCTAGTCCAATCAGGATTCTTCGCCATCGAGCAAGAAGGCTACACACTCACCCCTTCTTCCAGAATCCTGCTCGATTCCAGCCCGATCACTCTGTCCCCAACCGTCCTCGCAATTCTCGACCCTCTGCTCGTAACCCCGTGGTTCTCCCTCGCCGATTGGCTCAAGAGCGAGGATGCAACCGTGTTCGAAACCCACTTTGGGATGAACGTGTGGGACTATGGCAAGAAGAAGGAAGGGTTTGTAGGGTTGCTGAATGATGCAATGGCCAGCGATTCGCGGTTGGTGAGCTTGGTTGTGGAAGAACACAGGGAGGTTTTTGATGGGTTGGGTTCTTTGGTTGATGTTGGTGGCGGCACGGGGACTCTGGCTCGAGTTGTTTCTGAGAAGTTTCCGTTGATGGATTGTACGGTTTTGGACCTGCCTCAAGTTGTGGCAGAGTTGGGAGGGAGCAAGAACTTGAAGTTCGTTGGTGGTGACATGTTTCAGTCCATCCCTTCTGCAGATGCAGTATTAATCAAGGTAAAAATCGATGTATCTTAGGGAGAAATTCAATGGGATGCACCTTACCTTGCTGTTTGATTACCGTGCTAACCCTATGAATTACTGTTTGGCAGTCTGTTCTGCACAACTGGAGCGATGAGAAATGTGTGAAGATACTGAAACGATGCAAAGAGGCGATTCCGAAGAAGGCAGGGAAGCTGATTCTCATAGAAATGGTGATTGATGAAGGGAAAGAGGGAGGTAAATTGGGCAAGACTAGGCTCTTTGTGGACATGGAAATGATGATGTTATGCGGTGGAAGGGAAAGAACAGAGAAGGAATGGGAGCACCTGTTCTTGGAATCTGGTTTCAGTTGCTACAAGATCATCCCAACAACTGGGCTGAATTCAATCATTGAAGTTTATCCCTAGATCAGTGTTGAAATGTTTGCTATGGTGAATGAAGGTGTTTGGTTTTTACTTATGTATGGCTGGTTGCCCGATAGTGAAACAAAATGATACATGATTAATCAAATAAAATATTAGTGTAGTCCACCCTTGTTCATATTTTAATTTTGCAAATATTTTTTCTAGATCAATGGAGAAAGATGAGTTTTTGATATAATATCGCTATTTTTATTAGTGTCTACAACGAATTTAAACATATGCATTTATTATAGATCGATAATAAACTTCATACTTTCTAAAGACCTCTTAAAATCTGAAAAAAGAATCCAACTAGACATGATTTAGTCACTAGGATTCAAGATTCTCAATTGTAACGTCAGGTTGTCAAATTGATATGGGTTTGGTAACCTGTGGTCCAGAACAAATAAGGAGACAAGATTAACTTATCATGACGAAAAGGGCATCTATTTAAAGGAGCGATGAAAGTTGCAGGGACTTTTCCTTCACCTTGATGTGTCACTTAAAGTGATTAGAAGCCAAGAGCAGGTAAGTGATGTGATGGCTTACTTAAGTGGCTTCCTTTTCTGGCAAACGAAACCGCAGGGAAATACAAAGCCAATTGCAAGTTTGCAACATGACGCACGTCCAATTCATCAAAATTCGGATGCTAGATTGTACGAAGTTTGAAAATTGCGCAGTCGCCAAAATCCACAAAAATGATCCCGTGGCTATTGGTGATTGATGTATTAGCGACACCGACACCACCATGTTTTTTTTTTTACAAAAGGTAATCAGATATATTAATAGTTGGATAAAAAGATATTACATCCTGGAAACCAGCTTGGTCTGGAAATCAAAGGATCGACATGTTACAAAGAGAGGGCATTTCTTGCCACCATATGAGCTACACTATTGCTACTCCAACCTACTAAGCGAACACTAAGCGCACTATGACACGTAAACATCCGAATGAGCTCTTCAAGAACAGTCCCAATCCGATCATCCCTCGCTTCCCGCCGATTAATTTTATCAATAATGACCTTAGCGTCACCATGGAAGCAAACCTCATGGAAACCCAAATCCAAACACCACACCACCGCTTCCCGAAGAACCACCATATTTTCTTATCAGGCAATCATGAAATAGGAATTTGCACTTTTCTGATTTCTTTCGCGGCGTGCTTCAGCAGCTTCTGTCACGGCTTCTCTCTTGGAGCATGGTTTGTCGTCAGGTTTACTGATAGGGCAAAAGCGTAATGCCAATTCCTATCTCGTAGTAAACCGGAAAGTCCGGGTATCGTCTCTCAGGGACTGGTACAACCTTATATTCTATCAAATTTATGAGCAAACTATAAGTGAAAAGGTTTTAATGAGATTATTAACTACTAGCAAAATAACTAAACTAATTAAGCAAAGTAAAATGGTCGGGAGAAATTCAATGGAGAAAGCTCTGGGAGAAACACCGGGATTCACTACCTATCCTATCCAGATTAATTCACATATTCCAATCAGTTTAATCCATATCTGTACAGCCATGATATCTCTGCGGTGCTAGCTATCCCTTTCGGGAATTACTACGTACTAAACAATTAAATCAAATCCTACTGTCGTAGCTCAATGACTTAATTATTCAGCCTGAAGAACGATATCCTATTTAAGACCGCATAGCACCTTATTTAATCCACTGTCGCTTCGATAAGTTACTATGTCACATGAAATAGGTTCAGTTAATAGGGTTTCACTGTCGCTAATAACCTAATTAACTACAATTCATTGTATTGGTGGCCAGTCAACACAAAGCATTAAGTAATTTCATGCAATAGAGATCGGAGGAAAAGAATCATAAATCAATCCATCAAATCAAGAAATAGCTACATCCTATGGTGTTTCCCCCAGAAATCGGGGTTTAGTTCATGACGAAAATAAAATAAATCGATAGGGTTTTGTTCATCATGTTCTAAATCAACAAGAAACAACTAATTTGGTTTAGAAAATCCAACCAACTAATCGCTCTCGTTGAACTCAGCTCAAGCCGCCTGGAAAACTGATCGCTGATTGATAATCACCCCTGGTCGCCTTTGCTGTGTTTCTTCTCTCCGCTGCGCCTCTCTTCAATAAGTTGCTGCTGCTTTTTTTTCTCTCCAAAGAAATCGCCCTCTCCCCCCAAAACAAAAACAATTAAAAGTGCCACGCCTTTTATTGCCTCTCGCACCAGCCTTTCTTTTGTGCCTTTCCTCTCTCCATAAAATTCCGCCCAGCCCAATCCTTTTGTTCCCTTGCTTCCGTCCAAAAATCTCCTCCAAAAACGTGTCCAATTCTTCTTTTTAATTCCGTCTCCACTTAATTCCCAAAAGCCCTCCTCTCCAGAGAATTCCCCCACAAGCTTAATTATAAGTCCCCCTCCAATTAAATCACCTCAGTCCAAAACTAATCCTCCCCAGATCACCAAAAATCCTCCGGCCCGCTCTTCCTTCCAAAAGCCCAAGTGAATATTCCACCAGTGATTCGAGCCCGATTGATTGCTTGTGCACTCGCTACTTTTTTCGCGCTTTCTTCACCTGTAATACATCAAACTCATGGCACTAGGCAGAAATGGTTTTTCAACCATTCTCGGGTTAGCGAGCCCTAAAATAGCACCAATTGGCTAAAACATACCACGGATAATCACATAAAGTCCAAGAATCCGATATATTATAGCCGAATATCACAACCCCACACTCAATTGTTGCTTGTCCCTAAGCAACGACTCAAACAACACACACATAATCAACCCAAAACAATGACACATTACAGACTCAACAATCAAAGCAAAACACAAAATTTTCTTGTACTCTTGTTGTAATCAGTAGTTTCTTTCTCAACGGACAAGTTGTGCTTTAATGGTCATACCTTTTCACCCCACACTCAAGTTCTTTGCAACCATTACCATTGACTGACTCAAATCCATCAAAAACTCAAATAGCAACACTCAAATTCGATCGTCGGTAGTGGGTGGTTAACAACTTATGGTGCAACAATTATTAGGAGAATCTAACCACATCAGTGAGGTGCATATCTCGTGAGGAAAATCTGGCTTACTCACACCAATCATAAGCAATTAACAAAGCATGAGTCTCAAAAACTAATGGGGGAAGCCTTTCACAAACATGATTTTAACTTTAAGCACATCACTACCTTTTATGACAAGGAGAGGCTTTCTCTTTTTCTGCTTTTGCTTGCCGAGAGGTCGTATTTAGTACAAGTGGGATTTGTTTCTTACTACCGGTGACCGAGCAAGAGCAATTTCTGCTTCTTAGCACTTGCATAAGGGCTTCTTTTAACTCCTTTTCCTCGGTCTGTGTGGAGGGTCATTGCTCTTCAAATGGCACTTCACTCAACTGGGGATCGTACTTGATAAGCAACATCGTACGGTCGCGAACCGATTCTCAATTGAATCTTTCCTCATCCCCATGTGCAATGAGTGATTGCCTCACACGATTTTGGCATTTTTACCCACACTTTAATTGTTATGGCAACTTTCTTATATTTTACTTGTCAGGTAGTGTTTTCTCATGTTATAAAGATACAGTTCACCCCATCATAAAACATTCAAAACAGAGAGACTCATTGCAAAATCAAAAGCTCACAATTGATGCAAGTAAGCTCGGTATCCAAACATGTCGAATGGTCAATGTTCTCCACCTAACTACTTCACCAAAAGTCGTTACACTATCCTCACAAAAGAGAATTTTGCTAAAAGAGTTGCTCATTCAAAGCATATCAAGTCAGTCAAAACATTCAAGCTCATTGTGAAGAACTATGCAATTCAACACTAGTGGGGTGATTTCGATGATTTCATTCAAGCACAAACTCATTTTCAAGGCATCACGGTCATTTACATCATGTTACCACAAGAGTACAAGGTTTTGTTTTTTATTTTTCTAATTTTTAGGTGTTTTTTGGCCATTAGCTTTGCACAGGCAGACTGCTTTTTACACAGGCAAACTGCATGCCGTTTGGCTGTGCTCAACCTAATGGCAATATTTTTGTTTTTTGTTTTTTTTTGTCTTTTTTACCGACCACATGACAAAAGGAACAAATAATTTTTTTTTTTTGGATTTTTTGTTTTTTACTGACCACATGACAAAAGGAACAAACAAACACTAAGACTCGCCACCCCACACTCAGGATGGAACATTGTCCCTAATGTTCAACTCCTAATCTAAACATGCACGGGTTTGACACAACTAAAAATAAAAATAAAGAAAAGAAAACTTACCTTGGGTTGCCTCCCAAGAAGCGCTTGTTTAACGTCCTCAGCCTGACGTTCATGGAGCTTTCAACCAATGGGTATGGAAAGGTATCCAGAATACCCTCCCGAGCAATGATAGAACGCATACCCTCCATCCAACATATGAGTCACCTCAGCAGGGCCAGGTGTGCGAAAATTGGGTGTTGGACCTTTTAGTGAGGCGTAGGTGGTATTGCAGTGCCTCAAGCAAGTACTCTTCCTGTTTCAATGTTAGTGAAGAAGGAATAATGACAGGAAGATTGAAATCCTTACCCAAATATCTATACTTGAGGTGATCTGGCAAGGATTTTTGCCCTTGCTTTGATTTCAAACTTTGAGTTGCTAGGGCATGTGATACTTCAGCTGATCCACTATCACAGGAAGAGGAATTTTTCCTTTCTCGAGCTCCACTTTCAAGGTCATCAATTGCATCGTGATTATGATCAACTTGAAAGACATTAAAAATTTCCTCCTCCTTACCTACTCGGAATGTCAACTTGCCTCTCCCAACATCGATGAGTGCATCACCAGTTGCTAGAAAAGGTCTGCCGAGAATTAGAGGCACTCCCTGATCTTCTTCCATCTCCAGAATCACAAAATCTGTAGGGAGAATAAACTTCCCCACCTTCACCAATACATTCTCCACCACTCCCTTTGGGATTTTTACTGATCGATCAGCCAATTGGAGTGTGATCCGAGTAGGTTTAAGAACATCTCCCAATCCCAATTTCTTGTAGACTGAGTATGGCATCAAATTAATTCCTGCTCCAAGATCACAAATTGATTTATCGAACTCTCTACCTCCAATAACACATGGAATGGTGAAACTGCCCGGATCATCCCTCTTTTCTGGTAATTTATTCTGAATCACGGCACTACATTCAGAAGTAAGGGTTACCTTCTCCAGATCAGCCCATTTGCGCTTCTTTGTCAGCAACTCTCTTAAAAATTTAGCATATGTAGGCATCTGTTCAAGTGCCTCCGCCAACGGTATGTTGATATGAAGTTGCTTGAAGATATTCACAAATT